CAGGAAATCTGACGCTTCGGGTCGGGACCCTTCTTCAGAAATGGGGGAGGTGGAAAGGGGCTCTGAAATAAATGGGGGTGGGGCAGTGATAGATGAGTGCAGGTAGGCAGTGGTGGGGGTTGATCAGTGAGGTGGGAGGAACGGATAGGTGGGAGACAAGACGGAGGAGCCACAACGATGTCACCCGGAAACTGGAGGTGCAGCACCTCATATTCCGCCTTGGGAGCCTACAACTCAATGGTCTCAATGTGGACTTTACTAGCTTCGAAATCTCCCCACCCCCGGCCTCATCCCATGATCAACCCTCCCTCTCATCCCTGCCTCCTTGACCTGTCCGTCTTCTGTCCCACCTATCTGCTCCTCCCACCTCACTGACCAATCCCCACCACTGCCTATCTGCACTCACCTATCACCATCTCACCTACCTTCCCCAGCCCCACCCCTCCTCTATTTATTTCAGAGACCCCTTCCCCCTCCCGTATTTCTGAAGAAGGGTCCCAACCTGAAACGTCAGCTTTCCTGCTCCTTTGATGCTGCCTGGCTGCTGCGTACCTCCGGCTACACATTGTGTTATTTAAAACAGAAATAACCTGGAAAGCAAGAATGATCTGAACACAGCAGTAACAACCTGGAGAGAACAGGTTCAGCATAAAGAAAACAAGAGGCTGGGCAGAGTAGGAATTTGGGCAGAGGAAGCACGTTGGGTATTCTCCAGTCTTCTGGGATCTCACCTGTTGCTGAAGATAAAAAGATCACTGTCAAGGGCCCAGCAATCTCTTTGCTTGCCACCCTCAGTCTCCGGGGATAGATTCCATCAAGCCCTAGGGACGTATCCACCTTAATGATTTTCAAGTCTGCAAACACCTGCTCCTCCTTAATATCAACATGTCCTAGAATATCAACAAACCCTTCCCCTAATCTTGCCACCATCCACTTCCTTCTCCATAGTGAATACTGACACCAAGTACTCATTAAGGACCTCACCCACTTCTTCTGACTCCATTAGTAAATTCCCTCCTTAGTCCTTGAATGGACTCATCCTTTCCCTAGTTACCCTCTTGCTCTCAATACATGTACGAAATATTTTGGAATTCTCCTTAATCCTACTTGCCAAGGACATTTTGTGGCCTCTTTTGGCCCTCCTAATTTCTTGTTTAAGTTTTTATTTGTTTCCGTTATACTCCACAAGGGGCTAATTTTATTTCAGTTTCCCAAACCTTACATATGCTTCCTTTTCCTTTTTGACATAAAGTTTCATTATCTCTGGTCATCCGAGGTTCTTGAATCTTACCATCCTATCTTACATCCTAACAGGGACATGCTTGCCCTAAACTTTGACCAACTGGTCTTGGATTTACCTTCAAACAGCCACCCTCAATCTAATTTCTTCAGTCCCTGCCTAATACTTTTGCAATTTGCCTTCCCCAATTTAGGAGATAGCAAGAACTGCAGATGCTGGAGTCAGAGTCAATATAGTCTGGAGCTGGAGAAACACAACAGGTCAGGCAGCATCAGAGGAGCGGGAAAGTCGATGTTCCGGTTTTAAACCCTTCATCAGGACTGGGGAGGGGAAAGGGAGCTCAGAAATAAATGGGGGGGATGGGGCTGTGGGAAGGTAGGTGGGATGGTGGTAGGTGGATGCAGGTAGGGAGTTGTGGAGATGGGTCATAGGAAGGGTGGGGCAGATAGGTGAGAAAGAAGATGGACAGGTTGTGTCAGGTCAAGGAGGCAGGGATGAGAGAGAGGGTTGGACATGGGATGAGGCCGAGGGGTAGGGAGATTTTGAAACTAGTGAATTCTAGGCTGAGGCCACTGGGTTGTAAGCTCCCAAGGTGGAATATAAGGTGTTATTCCTCCAGTTTATGTGCGGAGTCATTATGACACTGGAGGAGGCCCACGTGAGTGTTACCAAGTGAGTGGGAGGGGGAGTTAAAATGGTTGGCAACTGGAAGGTGCTGTTGATTATAGCGTACAGAGTGCAGATGCTCTGCGAATCGGTCACCAAGTCTAAACTTGGTCTCACCGATGCACAGGTCCCAAACAATCTTTCCAAATCCGACAGGGATTCACCTGTACGTTCTCCAACCTGGTCTACTGTATCCGTTGCTCCCAATGTGGTCCCCTCTCTATCTCACCTGAAACATCTAAACTCTGGAATGTTGAGCTGCCAGACTTGCCTTTCTCTCAACCAGGTTTCTGTTAGCTTGTCTGCTTTACCTGTTACACTTCTTGTGTTAAAATAAATACACTTCAGACACCAGTTCTGTTGTGATAATTAACCTGGCCCTGCCTATTCTTCCTACTATATGTGCTTGATTTAGCTCTTCTCCTCTCTTCAGTCACTACACATGCTGAGCCACTGCTTTGGTTCCCACCTCACTGCCACACTAGTTTAAATTCTCTTGAGTGGCACTAGCAAGGATATGGGTGCAACCTGCCCTTCTCGTACAGGTCCCACCTGTTGTGGAAGAGATCCCAAAGATCCAGATACCTGAAGCCCTCCCTCTTACACCAGCTCTTTAGCCACACATTCATCCATGGAATCTTGCTATTTCTGATCTCACTTGTATTTGGCACAGGCAATAATTCTAAGATTAGACAAGTGTCACAAAACACAGGCATATGTTACTGGAAAGATTAGTGATGCAGTTCATTCAGGAGGCTTAGAGAATTCAGGATTGAAAATTTCAGTTAATGCACTGGATGCTCAATAGGGTTTTCTCAAAAGACAAAGATGAGCTTCATAGGATCTCTCTATCAGTAGGACGTACCCCCAGTTGAACTCCAAACAAAAGCTAAAGCAGAGCCATAAACCCAGGAATGTGCCTTCCAGGAAAGAAGTCTTAGTAATTGGTAGGGCAAATCAGGGCAGGACTTATACACTTAATGGTAAGGTCCTGGGGAGCATTGCCGAATAAAGAAACCTTGGAGGGCAAGTTTATCGTTCCTTGAAAGTGGAACTGCAGGTAGACAGGGTAGTAAAGAAGGCATTTGGTATGCTTGCCTTTATTGGTCAGTGCATTGAGTATAGGAATTGGGAGGTCATGTTGCGGCTGAACAGGACACTTTTGGAATACTGCGTTCAATTCTGGTCTCCCTGCTATTGAAAGGATGTTGTGAAACTTGAAAGGGGTCAGAAAAGATTTACAAGAATGTTGCCAGGGTTGGAAAGTTTGAGGCTGAATGGGTTGGGGCTATTTTCCCTGGAGCGTCAGAGGCTGAGGGATGCCCCTATCGAAGTTTATCAAATCATGAGGAAAATGGATATGGTGAACAGTCAAGATCTTTTTCCCAGGATAGGTGGTCCAAAACTAGACGGCATAGGTTTGAGGTGAGAAGGGAAAGATTTAAAAGGTACATAAGGGGCAACTGTTTCATACAGAGGGTAGTGAGTGTATGGAATGATCTGCCAGAGGGAATGGTGAAAGCTGGTACAATTATAACATTTAAAAGGTAGCTGAATAGATATATGAATAGGAAGGATTTAGAGGGATATAGGCTAAATGCAGGAAAATGGGACTAGATTAATTTAGGATATCTGGTCGGCATGGACAAGTTGGACTGAAGGGTCTGTTTCTGTGCTGTACATCTCTATGACTCTAAATACCACCATTGCTGAATAATATTCAGGGATTTAAAAGTAACTTATGGGATCTGAATGAACTAGCAAGCAGCTATGTAAATCCATAACAAATTAGACTGAAAGATTGTGGAATTAACAGCGCAAAGGCAGAGGAGGAAATATAAAGCAGAAAATCCTGGAACTCCTTCCCTAACAGTGCTCTGGGTGTGTCTACACCACAGGAATGGCAATGACTCAAGAAAGTGCTCATCACCTTTTCAAAACGCAATTAAGCATGGGCAATAAATATAGGTCTTACCAGTGAAGGTTACGTTTAAAAACTGAATATACACATAAAAAAATGACCTGATAGATACATTTGTGAGGAAACAGACCTTGGGAAGTAGAGGGAAGGTACAAAGAAAAATAGCAAAATAGAGAAATTTAAATATAGCTTATGAACATAGGGGTTAAAAAGTGTTCAAAATTTCCCTACTATTCTAAGTTGGAGGAGTGGAAGAGAATGTTCAATAAAATATTAAAAGGACATAAACTGCGCTCTGCCATGTGGGGTTGAAGAAGCAAAGAGAAGTTACAGAAGGCTAAAGAGAGACCTATGCAATTGCCACAAATCGGAACGACGTACACACAACTTGCTAAATGCTGGTCCCCTGGCTACTCACACCTGCAGGTCTCCTTTCATGATTGGCCATGTTTTCATATTATGACACAAACCCCTGAAGTATGGCAAGATAAACGTGCAAGTTGATGATCAAAGTTGTATTGTTTGATATGATTCACATTAAGAGCATGGAATACAACACACAATGATTTTCAAACTCAAAGCACTCAAAATTTAAGAATATGACAGAAGCTTTTGATTCCTGCCACCTGAATAAACTAGTTCATAACGTTCTCAGGGCATATTTTCTAAACGTAGAAGAAGTTTATATCCTCTGATTAAAAATAAACCTTATCCGCAATTTCCATAGCCACAAGTTTTGAAATAATGATCAATGGCCGCGCCAGGGAAACTCCAACTCCTACTTTCAAGGACATTCATATACAGAAAACACGGTTGGATATTTATTTTCTCATCATCCTCAAGGTCAAGCAACAGATTGACCCCCAAGATGTCAGCAAAGTAATTTCATCTGTGAACGCAGTTTCAACTTCAGAAAATTTTCATTAAGGTGCAGACCTACTGGAAGCTCAGTGCAAAATATTATGTGGTTTGAAAAATTCAGTGTGAAAGCAAAATACCAGGGAAAACACATGGTTAGTCCAATTCACAGTGTAATCATTTTACTCTGATAAAATGTCAAGAAAGCAGATGTTGGTAAAACCTCAAATTTTCATAACATCAGAATTTATCAATGTGAACAAACTAATTCTGGTACAATGAATCTCTGTGGTCAGCAAAGAATGCTCCACTCACCTCCAGCCGCTCCTGTTTGACTTCATCAGCATCATCTTCCTCAAGCATACCCAGCAGCTCCCCTGTTTGGTCAATGGAGCTGAGGAATTCTTGGTAGAGTTTTTGGCGCTTGTTTATACTGCTGTTGGATTTGTCTATGTGTGGGCGAGAAAAGGAAGGAAGAAAATTTACAAATGTAAATTCCTGTACATCTGTAGCACAGATGAACCTGGGACCTATTTTCACCTGCTATGCAGACTTTAGTACAGCAAAAATATATTTCAGAACAGTTCCCACCCACTTGTTAAAAACAGAAACATCAGTAATGAGAGACTTTCAATGCCACAGAGGGAAATAATTAAAAGTGATAGAAACGCAACAAAAATGCTACTCACAACAACAACTGAAAACAAAATCTTAAACTTTGAACATAAAAATCTCCTGGTTTGATTATATCTTACGCTTGAGATGATGGATGGAAACCTTGTGTAACAGAATAACCTTTTACAATTTCCTACACAATACTGCTAACAGGCATGCTCTTAGTTTGGGTTACATACAAAACAAGACTAACATTCATTTACAAACATAATAATTCAGAAAAATAAATTAGTGAAATTAAAGGTAGTGTTTTGTTTAGGTATTGAACAGAAATATTGGCATAGAAATTCAATACAACTGTGCACAATTTCAATTGCAAAAGCATCCATGTTTAGCGGACAGCCTAAGATTGCAAAGTTTGGGCTAAAAAGTGTACTTTGGTAGAAGCCAAAAAAAAAAGGCATCCCAGATCCATGCCTAGCCAGTTGCTTATGCAAGTATGAGGCCCCCGTTCCAAAAATGGTCTACATTGAATTCAACAGGCACTGGGCCAGTTATATTCCATAAAATATAATCTGCATGTTATTTAACCAGCAGTCCTTAAAAAGAACACTGGAGCCATTACTCAACGTTATCCACATTAATGTGGAGCCAGGCTTAGCACCACTGTGTGAAAGTCAGTGCTGACTGACTCTCCCACACAATCAGTTCTTTCCCCTTTCCAAACAGTATGCCACTCTCCCCTCAATTGTCTCCTCTTCTGATTGTAATGAGAGTTGGATTGAAAAAAAATGGGGCCTCTGGTAAAAGAAGAATGAAATGACTCTTAAGGGGCTGAGGAAATACAAATAATAGAATTTGGGCAGGGACAGATAAGCTCTCAATTAGAATTATACAAGGTTGGCATTTATACTTAAAGAAGTTATGTGAATTAAATAAGCACATATAATAGTGTGTGCAGCTAGCTCAGAAATTACAGAATGCTTCAGACAAAATATAGATTGTTCAACAAAACTTCAACAGAAAACCTCTGAAAATGAATATGATCAGTCAAAGCAAATTACAAATGAAATGAAGTTCACATGTACAAATCTTGAGGGAAACACAGCAAGAAGGTCTACTACAGTGATCATAAGAAACTGCCAAATGCATGTTAAAAAGATTAGATGGATAGATAGAGACTTGAGGGATAAAAAGTTTAACAGTGGAAGCTAAACTAAACGTTTGAAAAAATTATTTCATGACCAGAATAGTAAATGGGCAGAGAAGATTACAAAACTATAAAAGATACAAGCGGATTTGAAACTGAGATAAGTAGAAAATAGTGACATTCTAACTTACCACTTCTATGTATTCACAGGAGAATATTCAATCAACATGCATTCACACTTACAAATGAGGTGTTTTAGAAGATAACAAAGTTTTACACTGTCTCCTTAAAATAAGAGACATGTGATCTGCTGAGATCTGCTCAAAAAAACAAGCCACATTGCTTGATTGATATGGCAAAATGGAGGTCCAGGTTTTGTGCTATTTGAAATTCATGTGCCAGGTTTAACATTTAAGAACAAAGGCAGAGCAGATGTTCTTTTTATTGCATATTTTGTGTCTTAGCGATTTTGAACAGGAAGAGAGAGAGAAGGGAGAGTGTTGCGGAAAAAGAGAGAGGGCGAAAGCAAGAGGAGATAGCAGTTGTTGCAGTCTGCAGAGGTAAAAAGGCTATCTTCTCAGTTCGCTACTCAGCAGAATGATGAGGATAGCTTGTCCACTGATTAAAGTAAAGGAACCTGCAGTGATTTAAGTTTACTAGAAGAATTACCTTGGTGAGACTTGAAAAAGAAATCACTGGAGTGGGTCTTACTGCGAAATTCAGTTTGGGACTTCAGAAAACTGAGGGAGAGGACTTTTGATGGTGATTGGATGTTCCAAATCTATGAACTGGGGAGACTTGGACCTGTTGAAATCTAGGAGTAAGTTCAGACAGATGCCTGAAAAGAATATAACTCTGTGAAAAGCATGCTGTACAGTTTATGTGTAGCATGGCGATACTGGTCACATTCCTCAGTAAGGGTTATCATTTCTGAAATTTAAGTTGGTTCCTGACTGCATAATGTTTAGTGGATGTTGATTTTAGTTTGGTTTTTTGTTACAGTAAAAATCTTATGTAATTCCTTTAAATCGGTCATTGGGAATTCAAATCCCTTGTTTAAAGATTTTGGCTTTACAGAGGCCATCATAAGACACAGAGATGTTCAAAGTATAACCAGTGACCACAACAAATGAGGTTGAAGTCCTGACTTGGCTCAAAACAAATAAACACACAGGAATAGATGACATTTATCTTAAACTGATGAAAAAGACTAGTAAAAAAAATTTAAAGCATCCCTCATAATAATTGATGAAACACTGAACACTGGTCACGTAAGATTGGAAATAAATTAACATGGAGTCCATATTCTAAAGAATTGTCAAAATATGCAATTCCAGACAAAATTAGTTTTCTGCCATTCCCTGAAAAATGAAACCACTACTCCTTCAAACTAATATAAATAATTTGGGGATTCAGAAATTTAATGCAAAGTGGGAAAATTTGCAGATGATATTAAATTACACAGAATCAGTAGAGTTCAGAAATTAAAGAATGAACTGGACAAGATATGCAAGTGTGCAGGGTGATGGGAGATGGAATTTAATGCAGGTGATTATAACATGCTACAGATTGGAATAAATATGTGTACTTCATGAATAGTATTGAAACAACTAATGATGAGGCTAAAACAGAACTAGAATTTTCGCAGATCCAATGTTAAACATGTGCAACCAATGCATAGCTGTATTCAACAAAACTTATAGGATGTTGAAGTATGTACTAAGATATTAGTCAAATCAGGCAATATATAGTGCTCTGGAGAAACCATGAGCGTGACTTTCCAAGGGGTTTTGAGGCTCACCTGCCAGCCACAAATGGAGATCAGCAGCATGTTCTGTTTGCAGACAGTCACACAATACAATTTTCCTTGGATAGATCAATTAATGGCCTGAGACCAGTCTTACTTTCTGATTAAGAATGCCAGATTGGATCTCAAAGTTGGAAGGCAAATCAAAAGTTTTCCAGCTTAACAGTAGTATCCTGATGCTGTACACACAGTGAAGGTAAGGTATCCATCCTCCAATATTTCAAACCTCAAATTTAAAACAGCTTGCCAGGCCAACACTTTGTGGAAGACTGAAACCCCTCTACTAGGAGGCGTGCAGCTGCTACTAGGGGAAGGATCGAAGTCTGCCAGGGACACTGACCCTGACTCTGCCACCAGGAAACCTGGAAGTTAACTGGGAATTTCCCATTGACAGGAACTTTCTTTGTGAAAAGAAAAAATGTTTAGAGAAGTTTGGGCCTTTCAGTCTAAAAAGTAGGTAACCAAGAGATTAACTTAGAGTTTTGCAAGATTGCTTGTAAAATGATGGAAATGATAAAATATTGCTCAAAAACAAGAGATATTTTTCTGAAGATTCTGCTTTGCACTTGTCAGGACAAACACACAAATACCAAATTTCAATCACAACAACTTGTAGTGCTGAAGAAATGGGGTGCCGATTGGTTGATGAATCAACAAAAGGAATGCGTTCATGCCTAATACTTTTTTGGTCAAATTGTATCAAATACTGCAGTAACATACAGCACCATTAAATTCAAGTCACCCAGTATATTACAGAAATCAAAAGGCAATAATTGGATCTATAAATTATTCTTAATGAGGAAGTGAGAAAGACAAACTGAACAATTTGGCATTGAAATTTAGCAGCATATTGATGTTGTAGCTTCATGCTCTTCTGTCTCTGCAATTAACCTCTGAAATTATCAAGATCAGTCCATTTCCATATTTGGGGTATGCACCGGTATTTCATCTAATACAGGGATCATCTTACAGACCTGAAGACTGTTGGAGTGGTCCTTGCTCTTTTCCTTATAGGGTCAAGACAGTAAAAAGCTAAGGTGAAGTTGCCATAGTTTTCCAGACCATAGAGCTGCTCTCTCATTAGAAACAGACAACTGGTGGTGGTTTAACCTGAGGGTTACCATGCCTCAGGAGAAGCTGAGGACAGTCCTTCTTGGTAACCTCAGTCCACACATGAATTCAATGCTTTTGGCATCAGACAGCATTGGAAACAGGCCGTCCAGGCAACTGAGCTAATTGACTCTCTATACAAGCCAGCGCAAGTCAAGCCACTACAACTGACAAAAGGACACATGACAGTAGCAGACCACTCAACCTCTTGAACTTCCACCGTTCCACCATTCAATTCAATTATTGTTAACATGTTTTTTAACTCCATCTACTCACTCTGGATCCATAATCCTTCATACACTGCCTGACAAAAATCCATCAATTACAATTTTCAATTGACTGAAAACACTTTTTAGTGTGGGAATGTTTCAGATTGCCACTATACTTTATTACAGTGTTACCTGATATCAAGGTTTCTTGATGTTTCTGGTTTCTGCTCATTGAATATAACATCGTGGGACCTGTGAATGGCTGTTTTCAGCATACGTGCCTGCTTCTACAACTTAAATCTTTATTAAGTGGTGAGATACCTAAGCTCCAAAAGTGAAATCAGGATGCAGAGCAGGAAGTGAGGATGATCAAGTTCCTAACCTGACTGCTTGAAGGCTCTGGTGCAGGAGGAAAGTGGCAGAAATTGTGCTCTGCCCAAACTTCCCAACCCATCACTGCATATCTGCCCCACTTTTCATCAGAATATCTGGGCTTCTTTGTTTAGCTTATTTGCAGCATATATATTTCAACACAGTTTTTTAAAAAATAAAAGTTTCTTTTCCCTAATTCAATGTTACTTACATGTATATTTTATCAAATTGTTGACTTTGATTTTAAATGGTAAATGGATTTAATTGTAATGTTATTTCTAAGGTATTTGGCGGTATTGTGAAGAGTGTTGATTATCAGTTTGATATTCATGCTAATTTATTCCAGCAGGAGCAGGATCATTTGACAATGTATTTACAGGTCCTATCATCACTTTGGAGAAAAGAGAAAGTGAAAAGGACAGCTGTGGGGAAGGAAAGTCAAACCAGGGAAATACCCCCGGGATAATGAAAGGGAGACAAATAATGAAAACTAAATAATTGTAACAATATTATAAGCCATCAGGAAAAATGGGGCTTGAAGAACTAACTATTCGTAAACGGGTGAATAAAAGAGTTGAACTGGGGGAGGGATGTTAAGGCACAAACAATTTCAGTGAGAAATAATTCCAGCAGTGGGAGACGAGAGTCATAAACCACTGTGTGTGGTGCAACTGAGAATGATCCCTTTGTAAATTCTAATAGTCTCCGTCTGAAATGTATATTTTCTCATTCTGGCTATGATTAACTCAGATTAATATCATGCACAAAGACCTATGTTTCTGTGATTGCAAATAGAAATGATGTACATTAGATAAACATTCCATAACCATAATTGTTTAAAGAACAGTTCAGGTAGCATTGAACAACAGTAACACTTACCTGTAAATTCGAAACTTACTCTTATAATTATCGTCATGTATTTCTGGTAAAGTCTTTAATTTGCCACACTCGTCCATTTCTGTTTCATTAGGATTCACTTTCAGTTTAATAAAAACCTAAATTTTAGTACTTTTAAAAATTTGAACTCAATTACAAATTCTCATATTACTTGCTGCATCATGAGAGATCATCTCTCCTTCAAGTACCTGCTTCAATAACATCCTCGTCTTCAACACCCTTAATAATTTTGGACTTAAAATCCCGGAGACTCATATGCCTTAACAATCGGCGTAATTTTCTCTGCAAAGAAAAATAGATAAACAGAAAAGCTCTTTTGCATTAAAGTATTACTTTAATTTTAATTTCTTATATGCTGAAAATACACACACAAGTCCCGCAAAGGAAACCAATCTAATTAACCTTTACATAACATAATGTTATTTTAGAACAGAAAATTGCTAGTTTTCCAATAAGAAGGTCTTCTCTGCAGACAAATGTCTCGGAGATTGTTAAAAGCATGTTGCAAGCATTAGAATTCTACCATTTATTCTTGTGATTCTCTTGGTCTTTCATCTCATCTGGTCTCTTGTTTTCCCTGAATCATGCAGTTCTGGATGGGTTTCCAGACTCTTTTGAAGTTACAACTCTCAGTAAAAAGAACACAGCTGCTCTCAGAGGCAGGCAACTGCTACTATGTAGTAACATCAGTGCACCAAAGGACACCTGGAAGAAAGAAGACCCTAACTGGGATATCTCAGTTGGGCAATAAATCTGAAGATGTTTTTCTCAAGTTAGCAAATATATTCTTGACTATTCTATGATCTTAGTAGACACTGATAACTCTTTTGAAGATAAAATACTCAACACTCTCTCTCCATTTTAACTGGATCTAATTTTTTGCAGCTGAATTAGAAGCATGTTGAGTTACAACTGAAAACTTTAAATTCAAAAACAACTGCAGCCTTCAAATCCACTCAGTTCAAAACATGTAAAGACTTTTAATTCTTTAATGTCACCAAGGTTCACTAATGTAACTAGCTTGGAATCTCAAAAATCAAGATAACTAAATTCAAGAAAACAATGATTTTAATTGTTATAAGACATTTTAATACTTACAAAAGCTGAATGCCATAATGTATAAGCCAAAGAAACGTATTTAATTTATTTTATATTTCTCCTATATTCCTGAAGTTGCTGACATATAATATGATTCCCTGGTTGCTGTTGCATTTCTTATATCTCTTGCCAACAAATTACAACTCATTACATGCAAATCCAAATAGTGAGAGTTAGGATGTAACAAACTGGATTTTCAGAGAGTTAGAACAACTCCATGGATCTTTAAACATGATTGGTGGAACCTGGATACAGGCAGTTCATCCTCTCCCCATTTCCAAAGGTTACTTTTTGCCAGTAGGGGAAAGGGGCCAGGGCATGACTCACACAAGAGGGAAATCTGAATTTAGCACAGCCATTTAAACGCAGTTTTTTTTTTGATCCCATCTTTGCTGGTCCAACCCACAAATTGACAGAGCAGATGCAAGTGCTCTTGAAGCACAGTGTCCAAGTTTCATGGTCTAAAGTTTTTTTAAACCTTCTGCTCTTTAAACTGACAAAAAAAGGCTGCAGCTGTCACAGAGTTTAAGAAGGAACACTCTGTTGGACAGCTTTGATTTACAGGTCATCTATTGTAGACTAAGGAAAAAATACCATTTGATTCAGTCAACTAGTGTCACTAGAGATATTAGTTGCCGTTTCCCCTTGGATTATCATGGTCATTACAAATGCTTTGCTAAGTTTTCAAAGTATGAGTGCAAGCTATATTACATTTTCAGCAGTATCTTTCTCCACTTCCACAAGGGTGTTGAGGTTTGCCCATGGCAGCTCCTGGATGAGTGGCTATGGAAGTCATATGGAGGGCATGAGCAGCCAAGGAGGGTAGGGAGGGGTGGGGGTGTACATGAGGTTTGAGCTGGCAGAAAATTGGCATGACATGCAAGGCCATTGGGGTAGTTGGTGTTCACGAGCTGGCATAGATTTGGCACAGACAGTATAAGGGGCCATATGGGGTGAGTATGGAATTGAGAGAGGTGAGAGCCCAACAGCTCGTGTTACTGCTGGGGTGAAGCAAATCATCTCTTTAGCCTTCTTCTGCTTTCTTGTGGCCACCCAGGATATGCTTCCAGAATTAGTGGGTGTGACACCATACTGCACACATAACCCTAAGTGCAAATCATGTGATTTGGGACCCATCTGACTGTTCAGAAATGTCCTGATTCAAGGTGTCTGAGCTGATATTGGAAATCTGGCCTTACTTATTTAGGAAGGAAGTCATCACACATGAACTTTACAGACGGGGTCAACTCCATAGGAATGGATGTGATCGGAGCAGGAGAAGAGCTGGAATCTTGGGCTGTTTGATCCCTCATTAATTGAGGGTTGCTGAGCAGCTCCTCTGTTGTTGCCCTGCTTGATATCAGATAATTAAGTAGACAAGATGAATCTTTTCTGCGAGACTCAGTGCTATTTTAACAGTGCTTTAACTATAAGTTATAGGCAAAGAAGCTATCATGGAAGATGGGAAGGAACCCAGCAAGAGCAGTTTTCAAACCAATAGAGTGGTTAATAAAAGAAATAACGTTCCAGTTAGGACACTGGAAGGAAAAATCAATTGGGTAACTGCTAAATACTGATAAGGGGCCGTATATTCCTAAGGAAGGATAAACTAAATACCAATATATACGCGAGTAAAAGTCGATCTTATGTAAAAGTTTACCCACTATTATTGGACAAAAAGTCTGGAATTTTCCATATATCTCATGTAAAAATCAACCCTAGTTCTTCACAGATAACAGATCAACATTTGAGAGTCAAGGTATTATCCTGTACATAAATGTTACGATGAGGAAATGAATTTTTTTTCATGCTATTATGGGTTTTGAAATTGTTTCATCATTTCATGTTAAAACACCCTCAACAGAAAATAAAAAATATACAGGCATTTAAACTGAAAGTTTTTGAAGATGCAGAGAAGTCAAATAACTGTATAGCAGCAAGAGAATTTTGTGTTTTGGAGGAACTTGAGAGAGACTGGAGAAAGATGTCAAACCAACTTCAGACAATGCCAAAACGAAAGTGTGCCAACAAAGGTGAACCTAGCAAGTGGCCACAATTAGAGAAAAAAGTTGCTGAGTCGGTACTTGAAAATGGTCAAAATGGAAAATCTTAGTTGTGAAGCCATCCGAATCCATGCATGAAACAAATCAAAGCAGGATGGAATTTTGGATTTTAAGGCAAGTGCCGGATGGTGCACAAGGTTCATGAGAAGGCGTGACTTAGTACTTTGACAGAGAACTAAGACTGCACAAAAGCGGTGTGCTGAACGAGAAGATATGATATCACTGTAACTACTGTAATTCATTGTGCCTTTTTTAATTTAGAGACCAATTGGGCTTCTGCTAATGAGACAGTATTTTGGACTGTAGCATGAATTTCAGCCCCTCAAAAGTAGTAGCCATGTAATTGTCCACCCCATAAATTTAACCGTAAAAAACTGTCTAAAAAATTCTAAATAAAAACCAAAAGAACTGCGGATGCTGTAAATCAGGAACAAAAACAAAGTTGCTGGAAAAGCTCAGCACATCTGGCAGCATCTGTGAAGGAGAAAACAGAATTAACGTTTCGGGTCCGATGACCCTTCCTCAGAACTGATGCAGGCTGGGAAAACGTCAGTTTATATGCAGAAAATAGGGAG